TACACACCAGGTAAACCACGTTAGTATTGTACACATTAATTTTGTTTTCACATGATAAAAGGTGATATTTTTTTTTCTATAAAAAAAAAGGTACTAAAAATGAACTGTTACAATCTATGGTTGATATTTTGAGTTATTTACTATCAACTGATACATACAAATAACCTTTTGCCTACCACTGACTGTAACATACCTGTTAAAAGTTAAAAATAAAACAGTTCCATTTTAAAAAATTAAAATGTACCCAGTCGAAGTCAATGCAAGCAGTAAATGCTTGGAGGACATGAAAACAAAGTTCATTAAAAATAATTTTTAAAATACTTAAACTGTAGCAGTAGTGTTACATTTGTGCCAGTAACATTACTCCTTAAAAAATATTTAAAATTTCATTGACATTTTAAAACTTCGAGGGCAATGAATTTAGTTGGATAGGAAGTAATAAATACTGATAATTACTTGTAAAATTCATTTCATTAAACCCAAACATACAAACAAACTTACTTACTCTTGAGCTACTTTGTAAAATACATGCTATGAGAATGTTAATTCTCATTCGATATAATACTAGCAGGTGAAATATCTTTATTAAGTCTTATACCTGAGTGTTGTATATGGGAAATGTATTTTATTTTTATCTAAGTAATACTATTATCCTGAGTCATGGTAGTTAAATCTAGACCACTTCAGAGAGTATTTTAACACTATTTGGTTATTAACAATACATTAACAAATAGGCAGACCATAGAAGTCACACAGTGGGGTTCTGTCTAATTAGTTATAAATTAGTAAAGTAATGGTAAAACATCAAGTTGAGTATTATTTTTTATCTAATTGTAGAAATTTGTTCACTGATAAAAAATGTCATAATTAGAACAATATTTCCCATTTCATGTTTATTTTTTAAAAAGAAATTTCTTTAACCTTAGAACTTACAAAACTATTAAAATCTCTGTTTAAACCTACTGATTACAAATCAGAATAGCCTCAATTATACACTCCCTCCATAAAAATCTATCATCATTACAATAAATAAAACTTTACATAAACAATAAGCACAAAATAATAAAAATTTAACACAACTATTACACTAAAAGTGCCATTACTGTCAGGAGGGTGGTCCATTCTGAAAGAAAGGGTGATTCAATGCTTCAGCGGCTGTTATCCTTGTGTAGGGGTTAGGGTCCAGCATCTTAGACAGTAGATCAAAAGGGTCATCTGACACTTCCTGCCATGATTGTAGGACTGTATTGTTTTGGCTGGCTGGTCCTAGTTTGAAAGACATCTGAGATAAACGTAGCTTTGTGCAGGCTGTCTTTAGATCAATTGGCTCTAGGTGCTCACTCACCAGAAGATTTTTGCCTGGAAGAAAAAACATCAGTAGAATCTGTATTGTCATTACATTTCATATTTATAAAATAAGTAGCAAGGTAGTAGTATAAAAAAAACCACTTGAAATTAAATGTGCTGCATCTGCTTCAAAAGATGAAATTTTCAAGATGGTGTGAAATTGAAAAATAGAATGAGTTTAGAAATGTGATAAATTAAATACAAGATATACAAAACTATCTAGAAAACAGCTTGCTTAAGATGTTTAAGTGACTTTTTGTGAGCCAACTACATTGTTATTGACAGTAAAAGTGCAATTAGAAGTTAGTCATACCTATTGCTTTAGCTGCCTTGACCATGGAAGCTGAGCCTAAGACTGAGATAATTTGGGCCAGGTAACCCATATCATCTTGAGCCCTAAAAAATGGATACCTGGCAGACAAGATGGATAACAGAATGACCCCCGCTGACCATATATCAACACCTGAGGAAAAAAAATACCAAAATATTTAAATCCATCTTAGACTGAATGAACATCAACATTTAAAAAAAAATTATTACAAAATTGAGTCTAGGTTGCTTTAAGTGATGGCTCAACTAATTGTTTTTTTTTCTTTCTTCAAAATAACTTTGAAAACATTTGCTAGAGAAGATATATTGGACTACTTTAAAAACATATGAACTAAAGCAGCAGATTAGAGAACAATAAAACTACTGGGAAAAAATGGATATTGTGGTATGAGCAAAACAGGAGTAACATTTCAAGATTTTGGAAAAAAAAATTATCAAAATTTTAGAAGGAATACAACATTTAAAAAAATAATAGAGCAAGGCATTTATATGGTTATAAATTAAGGTACCTGTGTTCTGTTCTGTACATTTCATCAAGACCTCAGGGGCCCGGAAGCCGGCTGTTCCTGCTCTGGGAGCAACCTGATTTGGTCTACAAAAAAAATGTCAATAAATAAAAGTGGTAAGCTATGTAGATTTAAGTTGATAGAAAAAATTAACTGTTCTTATGCAATTTCATTTCATTTTTCTTGACTGACAACTAGAAAATATCACAGGGATGACAACACTGCACTATATATTATTTTATTTATATATATTATTTATATGTATATACATAATTTGTTTGTTAAAAAACCCCTTTCTATAAAATGTATTAAAACATGCAATTTTAAGTTGGCTTTAGAATTTAAAAACCTACCTGGCAACACAAATGCTACAGATCTGAGGCCTACCAAAGCAATCACAGCCCTGGCTATCTGCCAGCCATGAGGCTGCTGTAGTGGATGGATTTGATAGTCTGATGGTTTTCATGCCTGCTTTGTGGTGTAAAACCTGGGCAAACAATGTTATAGAACTGACTTGACCGGTTATTTTAAAGAAAGTTATTTTTATACAAGCCAAATAATTTAGATGTTTGATGTTGATAAACAAAGGATATAATTTATCTAATTTAATACGCATCCCTTTAATAACTATAAGGAACTTATTAACCGAAGCCTACACATTTTGATCAAGCAGCATCGAATACACAATCAGAAAACCTAAATGTTATTTGGCTCCTGGACTGAATTCTATACTATACATGTCAACTCAGCAGAGATAGGTTCTTAAAACACCAGGCACAAAAGATAGCTGGGCACAGTGCTGATGGCACAACCCCTTTTACAAAAGTAGGTCATAAAAAGTTAAATACTTAATCTGTCGTACTGATTTAAGTTTCAAATTTATGAATGTCTTCAAAAACTTTGAAGAACAGAATCTTGTGAAATACTCAACGAAGCATATATACAATAAATATTAGCCTAAATGTTATGATTAAAAAATAATTTTTTTTTCTAAAATTATTGTTTTATGGCTTCGAACTAAAAATACAAAATCCGTCTACCTTTCCTTTAGTGCTATGAGCAGGAGGAATGTGGGGCAGGTTAAGGCTAAATTTAGACGGTGACAAGGGAACCCTGACGTCAGGCATCTGGTTTGGTAAAGTCTGTTTATGTGTTGTAAGTCCTGCCCTACTGTGCTTCTCTAGATCCCTGTCAATAAGCATTGGGCCAGAGGCTAGGCCAAAATCTACCAGTGAAAATCTGAAAGAAAAAAACAATATTTTAATATCCTAGAGGTAGAATAAGGAAATTAAAAATAAAAATGAATACTAAAGTATCTTAAAAAAATTGAATAATCTAACATAAGCCAACCTCTTTTGCTGTCTGTTGTAAAGGAAATTTGATGGTTTAATATCACGATGAATAACATTGAACTCATGGACCCGCTTCAGTGCAATCAATAAATTACGCATATATTCTCTAGCTTCATCCACACTCATAGTATGTAAACATTCCTGGTTGTAAAACAGTAATGATAGAGATAGATCAAAATTAAACATCTACATAAATTACAATACAAATCATAGGTTAATTTTGTTTATATAAATGGGGTAAATATAAATGGGGTAAGTTAAAAAGTTAAACCAACCAATACTTGATACTTACTTGAAATTTGTCATGTAAAAAGACAGGCATCACAAAAACTACATGATCTCGGTTACGTAGGCACAGCTTGACACCCATAACATTATCACATCCACTGTTAGTAAAGGAAGAAAACAACTGTGCACCAAGAATTATAGCATGGTGAATGTTACATCAACAGAGCATATAATTAAAATTTGTTTTTCATTTACTAAGTCCTTTAATTAAATTAATAATGATCTTGGCTATTAAGTAAACAAAATAAGTTACCCAATTTTTAGTAAACATGTAAGTTCATTCTGTATCCGTGACGGATGGGTTGTTGGAATAATATGTTTTAATGCAAACATTTCATTCACTTCAGGATAGTGTTTTAATTTTGCTAAATACACACAGCTGAAAGCACCTGCAAATAACAAAACCAGAGTTAGAATCACAAAGGCTCAGATGTTTATTTCATAATATAGTTACATATGATTAATACAAAAACACTATAAGAGTCCAAAGCAAATAAAAATTGGTATCAAATCAAGATCCCCATAAAGATAGTAGCATTCAAGAAATAAAAGCTTAAGCATGCCATACCTTCTCCAATTTTACATGTTATTGTGAAATGATTAGCGACCTCAGGGATTGCATTGTAAAGAGCAGATATTTCTGCATCCTCATCATCTGTAATAGAAGAAAGATTGTTATTGTTGAATACTGCTAAATTTTTAATTTTTAAAGATACTGTTTAATACTGTTTATATATGTTCTTTTAAAAAAATAATTAGCTAGATCTAGATATATGTAAAAAAAATAGGAATTGAGAAACTTACTCATAAAAGATGGAGACTTAAAATTTGAAGGTACCAGTTTAATCAAGTCATCCTTAACCTCTACATCATTTTCTATTTTGTCTATGATCTTTGTTGACTCATCATCAATTTCAAGACCAACAGTACATGATTCATTTTCTTTTTCCGTTTCTTTTTTTAAATCCTCTGTCAGAGAGCTGTCATTGTCCATGTCATCAACAGTTTTGTATTTTGATCCACCTTGAAACATGTGTACATTAGGCAGATGACAAAGCAAGCCAATGCTCATCCTACTATTTACTAGATCTAATCCTTGGTTGCCTAGAAAATACATGTGATAAAATAACATGGTAGGCCTAGATCTTGCTATTATTTATTTATTTCAATAGTAGATCTATACTATACTACAATAGGCCTACAATAAAGAATAATACAAATATTAACATATTAGGCAGGGTAAAGAAGGGCACTGACTGACTAAGATGGAAGAGTTCAACAAAGTAACAAAGTTTTTTTTAGTTTATAGATCTAGTCTAGAATACTAGATCTACCCCCAAAATCAGCATTTGTAGCCCAGGCCCTATTAATTATTTAATTAAATTTAGGGCTTAGGCCTAGATCTAGATACTATAAACTTTAAATTAGTTAAATTTAGCATTTTGGGGCCTATCCCTAGTTTATTAATCATAAATCAGTAATAATCAGCCTTACTCCCAAAATCAGCATTTGTAGCCGGGTCATAAAGTATAAATATAAATTTAATAGGCCAGGCATAAATAATAAATAAGATCTCTAGAATCTAGATCTAGATTCTACTTACAATCACAAAATATTATCTCTAAACCACTAGATCTAGACTAAATTAACTTTTGTTTGGGGCTTAAGGGCCTAGAGAGACATAAATCTAGGATAAGCCTAAAAAAGACTGGGTTCTTATTTCTTTTCAGTTTTGTAAGCAAACGATGAAGAAATTCCGAATTTTGTTTATCTTTCCCTCCATCCTAGAGGGCGTGATCGATTACTTAGAAAGTGGACGATTTTGTTGCTTCGTTGGGGAAAATAAAAGAAGAAATAGGCCCTAACAAGATTTAGATCTAGATCTATATCTAGATCTAGTTCAGATTTAAAAATCTAGATATAAAAATCTAGATGATTTTTTTAAATCAAGAAAGTTTAGCTTTTATAGGTGGAACTCATTTTCCAATTTAAAATCAAAATTAATATCCATCTAGCCTATATTTTTAATTGTTATTAATGTTATCAATAGCAAATTAAATATGGTTAGGCCTAAATAATATACTTATATATATATATATATATATATATATTATATATATTGTAACACTTGTATATATATATATATATATATATATATATATATATATATAAGTTTATATATTATTTTTAAATATTTCATGCACAATTTAATGAAATGTTCTAGGCCTACCCTAAGGTAGAACAGAATTGGGACTTTGTTAAATCGATATTTAAACTGTATCGATACTGTTTAACTGTATGGATATTAATATTATAATATCGCCTGTTATTGTTGTCTTGGCCTACTTTAGAATCTAGTATCACCTTATTAATAATCACATAATCCAAATAGATCTAGATATCTATGTAAAATTTAAAAAAAGTGAAATTCAATAAATGAAAAATGGCATTCAATGTTTTAGTCAAATATTCAAATAAAAATAATAACATAACTTCTAGATGTAACTGATTCTTAGAAGATCTAGATCTAGATCTAATCAGTGTTCCCGACTTTTTTCTCCGGGGGGGGGGGGGGGGGGGGGGGGCAATATATATGTTTTGTATACAAAATTCCATTAATTTATATCTAATTTATATAGATTTGCAAATATAGATATATACTAGATAGCATATAGATCTAGAGGGGTCATCCATTTATGACGTCCACACGGAGGGGCATAGGTGGGGGTGGGGGGGGGGGGGGGGGCGTGGCGAAAAAAATTGTATTGCAACGTGTTGTCTGAAACCCTCATCCTGCCCATCTGTATTGTGACGTAATTTATGGACGCACTGTAAAATAAAAATAGCACATCGATCATCTTTGAAAAGCGAGCGATGAAGTATTACAGAAATAGAGGTCATGAATTAGAGGAAGCCTTGCGACTTATTAATCTTAAAAATAATTAAAATGCACTCAATAGTATATCGTTAGCCAGTGGCGTCGCTAGGTCGGGTGTCACCTGGTGCGGCACCTCATAGTGTCACCCCCCCCCTTTTTTTTTTCCTCTGTAAATTTTTCAGTTTGTTTCACACACTCCCCCCCCCCCCCCCCCCCCCCACCCGAAAAAGCTTTAAAGAGTTCACAATTAATTTTACTGATGTTTATCTATAGCCGGTTGTTAATAAAGTTGGGTGTAATATTGTTTTCTCCATAGTTTGCATGTTTACGTCATGGTATATCCCCTTGCCGCGACCGTCATAATGTACCAAATTTTTTTTTAATCTTATGCTTTGCATGCATATTTGGTTGGTAATGGGGAGCATCCTAGAAAAAAATATATCATACTTTGACGTTTAAAACGCAGGACTTATATCTACTAATTTTTCTCTACATTCTAGATTCTACTTATAATAATTAGGGCTAATAAACATTATCGAAAATAATACAGCCGATATTTATCACTTACTTTATAGGTACACAATATACATTATTGAAATAGTAGATTGACAGTTTTTGAGAAGTCTACTAAATTTTTGTGGACGACCACATCTTTTGGGTGTGTGTGTGTGTGTGGGGGGGGGGGGGGGGGGTTGGTGGAATTCGTCAAAGAGATGCCTGGAAGAAACTATGGGGGGGGGGGGGGGCGTCTAAAATCTGTAATTTTTGTGAACGTCGGATCATAAGGGTGTCGTCCATAAATGACGTCACACTCGTAGGGGGGATGGGGTCCGTAATTTTGTGACGGTGTGTGATGAGGGGGAGGGGGGGGGGGGGTTCAGATGGTGCGACGTCACACTTTTGCATTATAAAAAAGCAATGTTAGAAAACGAATTTTAGACGTTATTTTGCGTTTTAGAAAACTGTTTTAATAAATTGTAATAGGAATTGATTAAAATACTTTATTTTGACAGAGTTCAGACAAGATTTTGTGACGACGTGTGACGGAGGGGAGTGGAGGGGGGTTGGGGGACTGGGGAGGTAAAAATCGTCAAAAAAGCGTGACGTAATTTATGGATGACCCCTAAATGGATAACCCCAGATATAGCCTTAAGACTTTAGAATATTATATGTGTCACAAGCAACCTTTGGAACAACTAACGATCAAGATGGATATGTATTTTACTATTAAATAGGTAACTATCATTTTTTAAAACATACTAAATTTAAATTAAAACGTTTAAATTAGGCCTTTAAATCTTATGTCGAGCTTGCCACATTGTCAAATGACTGCGTTCATTTTTTAAAATGTAAAATATCTTAAATGTTTCTCGTTTCAGTTATAGGTCTACTTCAAAAAGAAAACAAAATTATACAATGTTTATATCATAGGCTACAGCTCTATATATAGATCTAGACGACTACAAATTAGTAGTATTTTAATCTCATGTTTGGCAACCATTACACAAATGATCTGGTTAGATCTAAATCTAGTAGTCGACAGTTAATTTCCTAAGACATTGCTTTTTAATGTTATTACAAAAAGTGCATGTAGAATCATCTAATCTAGTTACCATTCACGTTGTAATGGTAGATTTCTAGTTTTGCACGCAAGTTTTATTATTAAGGAAGCTCACAACCGATGGTGCAATTTGAAGAGTAGTCTAACCGCTGAAAGATTAAGGGTCAGTCGTTGAGTTTGGTGGCTTTTTCACTTTTTGAACTTTTCGGCCACTTTCAAGATTCTAGAATCTAGACTGATCTAGAGATCTAGATCTAGAAATCTAGAGTCTTTATGAGTCTACTCTAGTCTAGAGTAATCTAGAGTATAATTCTTTGCTCTGGCCTGGCTTTCTTTTCTAACTTTCTAATTTGTATTTCTTATTTTATTTCCAATGGTACTAATACTATTTAACTAAAAGTAATACATGCTAAAATGAGTAAAAGCCTGTAAAAAAATAATGCTAATAATTAAAAGTGCGGTATACCATTCGAATCGTCCCTAGAGGATTTCATAGTGTCAGCCGCCAACCAATCAAACGCGCGCTTTCTCAGCGTTTTGGTTGGCGGCTGACGTCACGATGATGTCACTCGACGTGTTTTTGGAGCTAAAAAGGGCCGAAAAAGCCATTTTTTTCTACGTGCTACTAAAGTGGATCAAATGAGTTACAAGATTTGCCAAAAGTGCAAAAACCTACAGTCTACAGATATACACTTTTATACATTCATTTCATTGTGACACAGTGACAATGAACTAAATAAAAGCTTGAAAAACATTACATTAGTAGTAGCTTACCATAAATTATTATTAAACTAGCGTACCCGTAGCCGTGGGGATAGAAGTTGAAGTAAGTCTGACGTAATATATAAGAAGGGTTTCATCAATGCCTTACACCAATCCTATGTTCTTAGACGCGTGACCTTGTTTTCTAAAACTGAGTTTTTTAAATGTAAACAATGGATCATATTTGTCGGGGCACCATTTACCCACACTAGCGACTAACACCCCCAGGGCATGCTGTATGAAAGCCTAGAGTGTAGGTTAATCACTCTCTGTAATAGGTAGAGGTAGAATACACTTCAGTGACCACCCATGTGTCAAGGACGTAGAGGGGCGCTCTCGTGAGTCCCCAGTTACACAACCGCAGAGGTGCTGTGTAAAGCCCCTGACTACTTAAAACTAACATAGGCGCCATCATGCTCATAGGATAACCCAGAGTGCCAAATAGAATCCTGTTAACAATGATGCAGATTGCGTCAGGATTTTGTCTTTAACACGTAAAAAAATTATTTCACGTTTTTTAAACATCAGTGTGATTGATGCAATATGTTAGCGTTACTAATGGTCCATTATTAGATGCTCAGTCTCAATTTCTGATTGGATCATCTAAAAATAGATGCTTATTGCAGCATTCGCAAATTGACAAAACTGTTTGGATTTTTTTACGGAAGAAAAGAAACATCCCAGTTAATAATCTAACTTTGGTTAATTTTTCTGAATTAAAATAAAACGTAATACATGGCCCTCACCAGCCCATGACGTGAGCCTTTGGGGGCCAAACAGACATTTTTATTTGCAGCCAAATCGCACCCTACCAGTGTGCCGATGGACACGCCTGATTCAATTTTGTAAGGGACTGTAACGCCCCTTCTTATCCATTGTCTATCACACTGTTTAGACCCAATGTAGTCGCCATAGCGCTCACGGGAAAGACCAGGGTGCCAAATCGCATCCTGCCAGGGGCTGCCCATGCAAAATTAAATCCCCACCCCTCCAGAAAGCCTCTAGGGAGTATTCATCAACTCCCTAAAGTTTTATTGCACTCGGATAAAAGGTGTCGAACCGCAATCGACTTTTATTTTTATATACGCTATATAGAGAAAAATTGCACCCTCCCATGGCGCTGCCCTTGCAAAATCAAAAAAAGACTTTTTACTGAACCCTTCCCTGGAGTGTTCTAATGAACTCACCAGTTTGATGGCGATTGGATGAACGGCGTGAAACCGCAATCGACTTTTATTTTTATATTCTGTATTCAAGGAAAAAAACTAATCCCGCCCTGCCGGGGCGCCACCCCTGCGAATTCGAAATTTTTTTCCGCAGAAACCTCCCCAGGAATATTCTCAACAACTTCCCAAAGTTTCGCGGTGATGTGATGAGAGGTGTAGTAATGCATAAAGACAAACAGACACTCACACACACACACCCATATTGCTTTTTATATATATAGATTACATTACTAGGTCTATTGTCTCTAGGTGTTTTAGGTAGAGCAGAGTCTACAATACAACTACTAAAGACTATTGGTTATTAACTTATTATTAGTGTTACTAACTTAAGTAGCTTAACTATTTAGTAGTATTAGACTAGACTACTCAATCTAAAATTCTAAATAATGGAGTTAAGGTGCTACCAGGGTCCAACCTCATTGACTTCAGTTCAGAAAGTTGTGCATTACTGTTTGAATGTTACATTGTTTTTTTTTTTTTACTACTAGATCTAATAACTTAATTGTTACACACACTTTTATAAAGAAGATAAGATTCTCTTATTGTGAATTTAGAATGAATCTTATCTATATTATTATGGGTGTAACCACCCCATTTAACTTAAACAAATTTTAAACTTGAATTCTTGAATTAAGATAGTATAAATTATAAATTAAATATTAACAGTTACATTCTATGCTTGCAGATCCAACTTATTTTTCATCTTCACACACACCTTACATGAATGCCATAGGTTTCATTAATCATATTCCTTATTTAACTTATTAAATTTTTTTTGAAGTTCTAGCATGTTTAGTGTTCAAAGATCTTACCTAAGCTTATTTTTTTATTATGATTATTAATATTCCTAATTTATTTTCTGGTCATTTCAGAATTTCCAATGGATCCTGAATTATTAAAACGCTATAAAACTACTGAACCGAGAGGGCGCGGCCGCAATAGAGGGAGGGTATTTTCTAATGACAGGCCATATTTGTACAGGACTCCAACTGAGAGAACAATGTATTTTACTGCAAAAAATTCTCCGAAACCTAATAAAGGGAAGGGACAGGCCAGTGTGATGAAGGTGTCCCTGCCCGATACTCCCCTTCTAGAACCACCTACGCTAGCTCAAGCTGGTGTTAATGTTCCTAACAAAGATGAAGAACTTATTGCTGCAGTAGTGAGTGGTCCTATCAACACTTTCATAACCACTTTAAATCGTTTGATAAAAGAGAATGCTCTAAGCCAAGCTGGACTTGACTTGGCCTTGGTTGAAGCAATAAAACGTGGCAGTAAACTGATTATGCACCAGCTTTTTCATGCTGGTGCTAAAGCTTTTGGAAGAGATGAAAAAGGCAACACAGCTCTTATGATTGCTGCAGAAAATGGTTACTTAGATATGGCCAGATTTTTGTTAAAGAAAGGGTCCAAGGTAAATGCTGCTAATGACTCAGGTGAGACTGCTTTAATATTGGCCGTTAGACTTTCAGGATGCTCTGATATGATTTCTCTGCTGTTATCTTATAAAGCGGATGTCAATCGGCAAACAAAACAAGCTCAGACCGCAATATTTGAAGCCTTAGAAAACAGAGATTTGGATGCAATAAAAATTCTACTGGACGCCGGGGCCTTGATGGATAAAATAAAAAACAAATCTTCAGAAACTGGACTTGACATAGCCAGACGCCTAGACTTGGATTACATAGTCCACCTTTTTATGAAAGAGGAGAAAGGTGGCAAGGGGAAGAAAAATGTGCCTAAAGGCACAGCTCTAATGAAAGCCGCAACCAGCTGTAATGTGGCTGCTGTGCGTTTACTTTTGGACTGTAGATTCATAGATATTAATAAATCAAGTCAGACAGGAACAGCATTGACCCAGGTGGTTAGAGCTATGTGTGGAAAGTCTAAATCACGGGATGTAAATGAAAAGAGAATGCAAATTGTTAAACTCCTGCTGCAGAATGGTGCCCGCATTGATGAACCAAAGTCAGTTGATGGCAACTCACTTATTTTGGCCACCAAAGCTGGTCTCTGTGATGTTGTTCAGCTGCTGTGTGCTGATAAATCTAAGCTAAACAGCATTGCCTCAAACCGAACTGCTTTGATGGTTGCTGTGGAAACCGGTCGTGTTGACCTTGTTAATATTTTATTGGATGCTGGTGCTGACTTAAAGATCAAGAACAGCAATCGTGAAGATGCTCTGCTAATAGCTTTCAAGTATGGTACGTTGGAGTGCGCTAAAGTTCTCTTGCAGAGGAATGCGGAACTTGACGGGCTTGAAGCTGCTAGACTAGCTGTGGAAAACAAACAGAAGGAATCCTTGCTGTACCTTGCCAATAATTATGACATTGATGTGAACAAGATTAATTTGCTGCACAAGGCATTGGTGTTTGAAAGTGAAGATGTTGTGAATGTGCTAATCAAAATGGGAGCTGATGTTAACAAACTAAACGACAACCAGACGACGCCTCTTATGCTAGCGTGCAATAGAGGAGTCTCATTCGTACAGATTCTTCTCAACCACGGGGCTGATGTCAATTTGGGGAATGATGTAAATGGAACTCCATTAATTCGTGCTGTGTCTTCTTCCGTAGAAGTGGCAGAACTGCTTATTCAAAAAGGTGCTGATGTAAATAAAACTACGGTCACTGGAGAAACTGCTTTAATGCAGGCATGTGAGGGGTGCGGACAGAAAAGCCTGGACATGATTGAGTTGTTGTTGGAATCCAAAGCTGATGTCAACATGCAGTCTGAATCAGGTGAGACGGCGCTGCATGCTGCAGTGAGTGCCCAAAGCACTGAAAGTGTTCAGCTGTTGTTACGAAATGGGGCGGACGTTAACCTGAAATCCAAACTAGGCGAGACGCCATTGCTCCTGGCTGCAGAAAGTGGGAATGTTGGGATAATCAAACTGCTGATCACTGCCGGCGCAGATGTGAACGTTGAGGACTCGTTTGGCTGTAATGCCCTTTTGCGCGCTTTGAGGAGTCATTCTCCAGATACAGCCATTAATTCTGAACTCATAAACTTACTTGCGTTCAGCAGAGAGCATATCAACAAACAAAACTTGACTGGTTACACACCATTAATGCTAGCCACAGAGAAAGGTAACTACGCTGCTGTTAAGTCTCTATTAGATTTGGATGCTGATGTCAATATTGTTAATTCAACATCTGCGTTTAGTACTATAACTGCGTTGTCTATACTGCTAGAAAAATCAACTGTTTATAGAAAAAGTGACATTCTCTGCCTGGAGGAACTGTTGAAGCGTAGTGCTATGTCCAGCTTACCCCATCATTGTAAATCTATACTCCACAAAATGATTGTGTTAGATAATAGAAAACTAATACAGTTGCTGGTCACTAATGGCATGGCCCCTTGCAACATTGACCTCCGGCCTTTAACCTTCAGGTTTGTCCCCTATCTTCAGATGCAGATGCTGCGCTACAACATGTCAGAGGCCTCGCCCCTCAGTGCTGCCTTAACTTCTGGCAACCCTGCTGTAGCCAAGTACCTGGCCAGGAACTTGTTTCTCTGTCCTTCAGATTTAGGAGGCTTTGCCACACGTAACAGATTAAGGGATTATCTAGAAACTATGGCAATGAATGAATGTGTAGAGTTTGTGGATGAATTCACCAGCCAGCCAATGTCACTCGTCAAAATGTGTCTTGTCACCGTCTCGGCAGCGCTTGGCCCACCACCGGGTAGAAAGGCCAGGGTTGAGAGTTTACCTTTACCTAACATTATGAAAGACAAGTTGTTATTCAAACACGAAGAGGTGTCCATGGACTTTGTCAAAGAGGAGTTAGATGGTGAGGAATTGAATTCAGCAACGTATGATATTAGTGATGATGATGAGTTTGATGATGATATTGATGATCCGTCAGATTTTGTGTTAGGTTTAGATGACCCCATGCATTTCTTTTATGAATCTGATTCAGACAAATATCTCTTTTACGGAAGTGGCGGAAGCATGTATGAAAGTGATGACGCCTACATGTTTTTATAGTATGTTTTTTTAAAAGCGTTCAATGATTTATTTGTAGACACCTTAATTAATTTACTGTTGATCTTTATTTTGAAGTATTAGACATTGTAATTTTTAAAAAAATGTTATTTTCAGTGAAAATGTAAAAGTTATAGTTTTTCAAATTGTTTTTTTTCTTTTGAAACTACCAGTTTCTTTGTTATTCATTTCAAATAAGAAAAATTTGTTCTACTATTAGGGTTGCGTTGACAACATTTTCTTGTTGAAAAGTTTTAAAAAATGTATTATTTTGTGCACAATTATAGTCAGCTTAAGGTTAAAATTCATATAAAAGTGTATCATTGATCTTACTATATATTTATAGTTGCTTTTAAGTCTGAAGATTTTAATTGTATGTGAGAATAAGCTTGTCAAGTACTTTATTTAGCTAAAAATGTATCTGCAGCAGTAATCCTCCCTGGTTGACTGATAATCATTTTTTAAAAGTTCCTTTGAAAGGCTGTTCTTCATACTATAAGTATAATTATACAATAACTTAATTTATTATGCAATAAGTTTAAAGTTAAACAAATTGCATTTTCTATTTTTCTTTTATTTTTATAATGAACCAAAGAATTTTTTTTTAACATGCAGCATCTTATTTAGCCAGCTTTGCAAGGCGTCCAGTTAATTAAAATATTTCTAAGAGTTTTCTTATTTTTCTAACAGTTTTCTTTCATGTTTTTTTTTCTAATTAAATTTTTGCCTTAGCAGCATTATCCTTTTGTAATTACAAATGCTAAAAGTCAAGTGATACAGAAATAATTAGTAACTTTTTAAAATTAGAGATCAGCAGATGATTTGCATTTTTACAGTTTTGTTTTTATTGTTGTTGATACTTTTTCAGAGTTTTATTTTGTTATTTCAAGTGAAAGAAATAAAAAGAGAATCAAAACAGTTCAAGTTGTAAAATTTTTTGTGCTAATTAATTACTTAATCTGAAGAAGAAATATAGTAGTATAAGTATTTAGAATTAAATTTACTAGGTATATTGAGCTTTGAAAAACAATTAAGATATAGTTCTCTTTCAGGACTAATAGATGCTTTAGGCAGACAAAGTAATAACCTGTTCCATTGGTACAGTATAGGGCTAAAGGGGTTGTGTAGTCACCTCTACAGTCCCCAACTTGACCACTGCAAACACTAACCATGAGACCAAACTCAGGACTTAAATGGTTGGCCATGGTATGTTCGACCATGACTTGAGAGTTGAGTGAGACCCACAGTTATAACAAAAAATTATTTGTCTTTGGCATGATAGAGTATGAGAAACCCACCATAAGAGACTGTTCACAAAGGAGCAATATAGCACTTTTTAAAAAACTTTTGACTCCCTCCTCTCTTCCCCCCCCCCCCCCCCCCCCCCGCAACGTCACAAAAAGCCAGGCAATCCCTGAGATGACGCCACACCCCAGCCTGTATTTCTTGTTGGGGGTGGTGGCAAACAAAATACAAATTTATATAGAAAGTTGTATACTTTTATCCGTGTCAGGCCCTCTCTCTTCTGTTTAACAATGTTAAAACTGCTAAAAATACAGTTTGTAATTTGTAGTATAAACTAGTAGTATTGCAGTTTAAAAAATGTAAGTGTGTCATCACACTTTAAAAACCTCCCCTCATCGCAAAATTCCAACTCGGCATATGAAGGAATAGTATGGTCAGCACTATGCTCAGCCGCCTTTACTTTCCCCAATGTGAGTTAGGTACCCATCAGAGTTGGGTGGACTGAGGGACGTTCTACTGACTAAACTCGGATTAGAACTCGATACTTTCGGGTTAGCAGTCTAGCGCTCTGGGAGGGGGAAATAGTGTGACATAATTTTGGGAATCTGATTTTTATTACGTCACATCCTTCTGTTTAATGCAGGGTGGGGAGGGAAGGGTCGGATTATCGTGGGAGACCCAATTTGTTTTCAATGAAATAGAAGTCTGCATGTCCAAAGCCTATCATTATAATATAAGCTATAGGCTTAATACAATATTTTGAGATTTTATTTCTAGACCTATACCCATGCCCCGTGTACTACCGTGTAGGCATAGAAATAGATCTAGATCTATGTGTGTAGCCCTCCTGTGGCGTGTGTACGGGCCACTGTTTACTTTGGTTTTACTCCTCTAAAAAGGGAATACACGTTTCTCCTATTTTAACAACCCTTCACTTCGTATTTATAATCTACACACGTGACGTATTTAAACAAAGGAGAGTTATCACGTGAGTTACCAAACACCTACTTAACCTCGATAACCACCACCGTAGCATTATTGAGCTTATTTACTGGGTTGCTAAGGACAACATTTTTTCAACATGGCGGCAAGTCTCCGCTTGTCGGGTACCCAATCTAACTGCTAGCTAGCTAGCTACGCATATGATTCCTGTGATCGAGTTCGTTAGAAATAATCAATAATTTCAATATCGATCGGTATTCGTCATTACATTATAGCCGAGGTAGGATGATAGGTACCTCGTGATATTTTGGATAGTCTGGTGCTGTAGTAGACTTCTAATAAGTTCTAATAATATAAAAGTTTAAAAATTTAATTAATTAATTAATTAATAAGTAAGTATTACTATTTAATTTAATTTATTTAAGTATTAAAATTTATAAGTAACATATTGACCGTTAGTTATAATTAATATTAATTAAACAACTTAAATTACTAGGCCTAGGTCTAGTCATTATCTATATACATAATTTCAATTGAGATCTTCTGCATAACTGCCTTGTGGCTTGCAAGAACAAATTAATTTTTTTAGATAAATTTAACAGACAATAATTTAATCTATTTAAAATTATTTTTTATAAGTATCGTATGCAAGAATTTATCATGTGGGATGTTCAATTTTTCCCCTTAAAAAATATAGGCCTAGGCTTTTGAATATAGGATTATAAACCTATACACATCCTATAGCAGTATTTGTATTCCTATTATAAATATATTTTAACCCCCCCCCCCCCCCTTTCACACACATCCCCTACCTACCCACAACCCTTTATATCGATGTATAGCAAGCGTCCTATTTAGTTTTAGTCTTAATACTAAATACTTGCCCACCACATCTCTAGTATACTAACTAAACATTCAATCATTCTAGAATTTAGATCTAGATCTAGGAGATCTAGTTTTCTAGATCTACAAGAATAGGCATACGAAAATTGAGTATGTGTGTGTGGTATTTATTAAAAAAAAATATGTCTATGATTTGATGTCGTTTAGCTCGAGCTACAATAAAACAATGGCTGAAGCCAGTGAGGCAGCTACAGTAAATATAGAATTGAACGACGAAGTAAAAATAGATCATGATCAAACGGCACAACAGGGGACACAACCAGATGATTTTGTAGCTGATGAAGACGGAACCGAGGAGTTACCGCCCTTGACATATAAAGATTTTGTACCAGAATGTTTAGGGGTAACAATTGAAGGAAAAGAACCTGATTATGCTGAGTTTAGGTAAAACTTCTCAGAATCTAAATATTTTAAAGATCAAAATAACTTTAGTATTTTATTAATTTTTAAAGTAAATAAACTATTCATGCTATTGATCAACCTTTGTTGCCTTTAATAATGTTTTTTTTGTGTATTTCAAAAATTTAGCACTGTGATAGAGCAGGCTAACCAGTGGTTGCAGACAGTGCCCCAGTTTACTGTGTTCAAATGTGAGACGATCTCTGTCAAGCTGGGAGCTGATTTTGTTGTTGAAAACGATGTTACCCTCTCCCACCAATCATCCAATGGTAGAAATGTCTACTTGAGAATTCTGAGGTGAGAAATATTAAAAACCTAGATCTAATTTACAATGCCACAAAGTAATTTTGATTTTTAAATTTGTGGAAAAGTAAACACACTTTTTTTTTTTATAAATGAGATTAAAAAACTAAATTCCACTTGTTAAAAAAAAAAAAAACCATTTGTTATTAATGATTAATTATTATACACAATCTGTAATAATGTATAGCTCTACTTGACTTGTCCCTTAATTATAGTTTTGTGCTGTAAAGGCCTTGTATAATGTATAATTATGGTAATCTTTGAAACTCCTTAAGTTACCTAGCACTAATGGGTGTGCAACATAATGATAGAAAACACTGATTAATAAAGAATTAATTAACCAACAAAGGAAGTTCATCTATTTCTTTCATAAGGGAACATAGTCTAGCCTATGCTTGTAAAAACTACCTCTGGATTTGTTATAAGCATCAAAATATAATTTCATGTACTAAGATCACTAAAAGAGGAAATTGAGTTATTTTTGTATATTCCTAAGGAGTTTGCATGGTCAGTACAATACTTTTTAAAAATACTGTTTTTTCAGTGAGTGAGCTAAATTTGGTTGTGATCATAATTTGTAATACATTTTCTGCCTCTTGAATCCTTCAGGGTGTGGCTGATTAAAAAACAGGATCTGGAATCTCCTGTTCAACAGCTGGGGTACATCACAGTACTGCCAGAGCACAGTTCAGGCGACTTGACCACTTACCTAAACTCCCTCGCCACCTCCGCAGCCAACAAACAGCTTGTGGACCTCATGATCCCATCCTTTGACAACATTAAACAGACTCTGGAGAAAATCAACAGGCACCTGTTATCCAAACCTATACCAGGTAGATTGGTTTGAACCATTGGACACTTTCCATCACTTTTATCAATGACTCCTTGAATCCCACGTTTGAGGGATAGTCACTCTCTATAATAATGCATGTAATTCTAGCAGAATTTGCTGTATATTTTTCATTGAATCCCAAATTTAAGGGATAGGCACTCTCTATAATTATGCATGTAATTCTAGCAGAACTTGCTGTATAAAGTGGTGCTTTATTTCCTATTGCTCAAAACTTAATAACCTGTTGCCTATTTTAAAGAGAGGGATGAAATTTCATAAACATTTATTAGATCCTATCTGTAGGTTTCTATTGAGTTTTAAGTAGTAACTGGAAGTGGTACTTTACACTGTTTCCAGTTTCTCAAAAAGCTGCTGAATTTTAAAAATTTCATACCATATTCACATAAAGCTGCATATTCAAAAACATTTTGCCTCTGTGGTTTCTAAAAAAAAAATCAGCAGTTTTATTAACTTACCTACCATTTCCATTGACTATTAGTGATTATTACAAGAGAAGTGCCATCTCAATACTTAATATACATAGGCCTATTTGGAAAAATTAAAGGGGAGCTCACTCCCTATTTATTAAAATAAAAACGGAAAAAGTTTTGTATTTTTTTAAAATAAATGTTGTTTTTTCTTGCAGGTCAAATTTTGAACATGGAGACCTTAGTATTGAAGTGCCAAGAGGCAAGTACCACTGATAAACTCGACACAGAAAAAGCCACATACACTGAAGGGGGAGGAAACTCAAAACTTTTTCTGTATGGGTTCAGGATCTTTTATGTTGTAGGGAAACCTAGTCTGGAGACAGTTGGTGAGTTAGTTCTAAAAATTTTTGTAATGTGCTTTTTTCTGTTTCAAAAACATAGGAATCTTTGAGAAATTTAAGTTTAAATTATTTTTTCAGATATGTTACCTAATCTGAATATAGTTCTATCTCCAACTAACTCTAACTGTCAGTTTTACCCTTAAATAAGGCTTAATCAAATCCAAAATCTAGGATTTGAAATCAGCATAGCCCTATTTCTGTTTTGAATATGAAATTAAAATAGGACATATTTTATTACTGCATTTAGGATTTATTTTAATATGATACTTAAGCTAAGCATTCTCTTGTTTGTAAAATTGTAATAATTAGTCAAAAAATGTATTTTTTATAAAGGTTTCTATGATGAGCAGCCAGATATATTCCAAACTAAAGAAGACTTTGGACTAAAAATCAAGTTTGCCACTTTCAACCAGACATTGGCAAAGGCTGCCAAGTGGCTAAAAAAACAAAAAGTAAACTTTATGTTCTACGCTGTCTATTTACCAGCATGCTTACAGTAACTAAAGGCATCACAGGATTAAATAACAGTATTTTAAAATCATAAAGCTAAACCATAAGACTATTTCTTCTGATAATTATAATTTTTAAGGCATGTATTTACACTTCATTATTAATTGTTCTAATTCTAATTGATCTTGTTTTTAAAAAAACTTATTTTTATAATTAGTTTTATCCATAATAAAACAACCAAATATTTTTCAGATAGAAGATATGTATTTAAAGATTTATAAGAATAAAATGATAATGAAATTTAACACATTTTTCAGGGTATCCGAGTCACAAACATTCAGTCAGTGACCGTCAAGTTGGACCGGAATAAATGTGGATCGGGTATGTAAAAAGATGGTGTGGTAGTGTTGGAGAATATACATTAACCAATGTGGCTATTAGTGCTTACAATGGATTAATTTACATTAATCTATGTGGGTTGTTAGTGCTTATAATGGACTAATGTAAGTCTAGTGGGGACAGTAGAATGACAAAGCAACATTTGTAGTGGGAATAAGAAAAAAAGGTAACATGGAGTATTGAATGGTATCGCAACAAAACTAAATATACATTTAAAATTACATACTATTTTACCACAGTTGGATTAAGCCAGTCATTGCTTGAGATAGTAATAAGTGTATAAAACTGAAATTTAGAATTAAGTTTAGTTGTACATTAAGATACTAAGTCACAAATGTTTATTACATCTGAAACAACAGAAAATTAACAATTTATAAAAGTATTCAAAATACAGTGCCATCAATATTTTAAATAACATAACTTCATGGTAAATAAACAAATCATTACACTGTTTCAGGTCCCTGGAGTCTAGAGACCACTGTACCTGGCTATACAGAAAACCAGAGCCTTGTTGAGTCCCGCTACACAAAAGTAAGTTGTGCTAAATATATTTGTTTCATTTTTTATGATACATATTTTTAAATTTCTGTTTTTAAATTGAAATATAGTAGGAACAAGATAGCAATTAGCTTACATGAATTCTGTTTTGCTTATAACCATGGTACAAAATACATATTTTTTGTTTCATTGTTTTTATGATACATTTTTTAAAAAAAATTCTGTTTTTATATGGGATATAGTAGGACCAAAAATGAATTTTATTCTGACTAAAAAAATGGCACAATACACATTTTGTTGTTACTGAAAAAGCATTATTAAAATAATTTTTCTTTAAGGAAATAAATATTTATTTGTCCTACCTGGATTAATTTCTAATTGTTGTTACTCTAGATCATGATACTTTATGATTCATTAAAACTTAAGATTATATTAGATTTGATTTAAGGCTTATTTTTATTAAAGCTCTTCCCCATACCATCAATACTAAGGCCTATACACAAGTGAGAATCAGCGGTACCATATTTATTTTTCTACTTTTTAATCAGTTCAGATGATTGTAAATGATCACTAACTTATAATTCAAATAAAATTAAACTTCTTTTCACGAAAGAAATATGACATTTTAGCCCTGCTGGTAAATATGACAGATGAAGTAGAGTTTTTCTGTTTCCTGGATGTCTGCATTTAAAATGATTATGATACGCTATATATTAGTGTAATATAAAGCAACATACATAACAAAATAATGAGAATTAATTAATTTTTTTCTTCTTCCCAGATCATCCGCATTTATTACGTAAATGATCCGAAAACCAAACAAACAGCTCGCTATGCTGATGTCACAATGGCATCTAGGCTATTTATTCCACAAAGAATTGAAGGCCGAATGTTTGAAGGGTTCTCAAAAACTCTAACCAGAACCATCAAGTGGCTTCATAAAACAGGTTTGTTTATTTTCCACATTGCGCAAGCATAACACTATATTAATAACTCATTACTGAAGTTGAATTAATTCTAACATGAATTAATTTACTGTCTTAATGAGATGTTAGTAGAAATATGAAGCATAAGGATAAAAAAGGGTTCTTTTTTTATTTTCTAGGGCAGGGGTCTCCAAACTTTTCAGTCCGAGGGCCGCATTAACTATCGAATTTCAATTCGGGGGCCAGTTTCTTCCAGGCATATCCTTGATTTTTCTGGGCAAAGTTCCTCAGCCATCACCAACAAACGTTTTTTCCTTGGACAAAGAGATCACCGCGGGCCGGATGAGGGGACATCGCGGGCCGCACCCGGCCCGCGGGCCGTAGTTTGGAGACCCCTGTTCTAGGGTGTCTATGTGTTGTCTGATTTGATTCTTTACATGTTAAAATAATTTAAATTATATTTTAAATATGACTTTATGATGAAAATATATAGTTGACACTGTCAGGTTGTTAAAACTCATGGCTCCTAAACTGAAACAAATTCAGAGTTCTAACACCCAGGCAGATGAGCCTCAATAGCTGGAGACAGCAAAACATCTAAAAGAAACAACTCCAAAATCAAACGGCTGCTGCCTTGTAGTTTGTTGAGAGATGGGTATAGGCTCTGGAAGCAAATAGTAAATAGAGAAAGAAAAGTAGGCTAAAACTGGAGTCAGAGGCCTTTTGGTGATAACATGTTGAAAAGTAATACTTAAATATGACAGAGGAAATCTCATCTAACATGACAATTAAGACTAAAAAAAAGAACAATATATGGGGGTAAATAAAAGGTCAAACTTGAAACTAAAACATACAAATAAAAAAAAAGAAATCTCATTTTAAGTAATTTAAGAACACTGCCTTTAATTGAAAATTTCAAATAAAAAACAAAGTCTTTCTTATTTTCATAATTTTGTTATCTAGGCCTTCCCTTGTTTGCCTGTGAAACTGTAAAATACCACTTGACCAATGACAGTGAGGGTCAAGGGTTCAATGATGAGAGGCTGGACTACATGGTCAACACCTACCATGGACAGCTTTACATCAGCTGTATCAGGTATGTACACAGCATCACCTGCACTAGGCACATCCACCTGGTCTGGTACTTTTAAGTACAGGTCATAATGTAATCTCTGGCTCGCTAAATCTGCACAAACATGAAGTGTATGATGACACAGTGGGCTTTAAATAAATACCTTTCTGTGAAGTATTACTTCCCCTTCTAAATTATCCTCCCATCTCAGTTACCCCCTCCCCCCTGCACCCAAAAACTGTAGCTACATATATGGTAAGGGTTATTATTTCTGGATGGAAAAAGCTGATACATTTTCTAGAATTTCCATTTGCCATTCAATAGAATGCCTAGGCAAAGTGAAAAATAAAATATTTTTGTAGAATGCCTGCTTTCTCACTTTGAAAGAAACATGTATAATAGATATTCCTGAATATTATTATTATTATTATTATTATTATTATTAATATTATTATATTATTATTATTAATATTATATTATTATTATTAATATTTAAAAACTGGTTGCAAACAGAGTTTCTTCAAGGCATCTCCCCCCCCCCCAAAGAAAGTCTACACCCCCCCCCCCCTTTGGAAGAAACACTGGTTGTAAAAACTGGTAACAAATATTTTCAGACTTTACTGTAAAACTTGTACAATTTTATTTTCAGACTTTACTTCCCATGCACATTTGAGGAGCCACCACCTGACAAGGCTGATGGTGAAGACTTAGGCTGGGGGTGGGGCTGGGCTTGTGTCGTCTCATAAACATGTTTGTCTTTAATTTATTGTTTCGTTTTAATGCTCCATTTTTTAAAATCACACACCTAAACATGTTTGTCTTTAATTTATTGTTTCGTTTTAATACTCCATTTTTTAAAATCATACACCTATCTTGGGCTTATGTCATATTCACATCATCTGGTTTTTCTAAGTTTCAAAATATTAGAAACAATGTTGTTCATTCCGGCATTTGTATTGTTTTTTTTTCTGACTTTTTAAAAAATAATATTTTACATTTCTAAAACTTATTGAACCAAGACTTTTTTTTTCTGAAATTAATAAAAAAATATATTTGTCTACCAATTCAATAGGAATTACATAAGGTTTTCTAGTTTCTAGTATTGGTTTGCAGTAGGTTCTTTTCCATCGAAAGCTTAAATAGTAATAATTCTAACTGAATTTTTGTTGTTTTGACTTTTCTTCTTAAAATTAGTTATTAAAGCCATGATAGCAGCATTAAACCAAGTCCCAATGGGGAAAATAGACTATAAAGATTTCTTTTAATAAGGATGACAAATTGTATGTAGGCTATTATCTAGCACTTGGCTTTTAAATTGTGGGTTTTTATTTTCTACATAATTTATTAATACACTAATTGCATCAAAGAAAAGATTATAGAATATGCTTTAAATCGCTGGGTTTATATTTCATAAAGAATATATTTACACTTTTGAAAGGATTTATTATTTAAACCTTTTTGTCATGTAAATGTTAAATCTATTACTCTTTGAAACTAATTATGAAATAATTTTTTGAATCTTCATGTCCTTGTGAATTTATCTCTTGAGTGAAATAAATTTGTGCCATCTTATTTGTACTATATTTTTTTTATCAAAGTAAATAAACAAATTTAGCTTCATACCTAGAGTAATTTGACAAAGTCAGGGGAGGTAATTCTTTCCTGTAAGATAGCCTCCCTTGATCAATCTCAATGTCTAGTTATTACCTGTTTCGTTTATAACAGTAATAGTTTTTTTTTCTCTTAACATTCTCTTAAACCCTTCAATGATTCTCCTCATAGATATTGGGAGGGGGGGGGGGGGGGGTTACGCCATTGGCGTGAATGTAGGTTATATCATGTGATTACAGCCTTGAATTGGGCGAATTTCGTTTTTAACTGTCTTGGTCTAAGCCTTCGCAATTGAGACCTAAAGCCTCACTGCTGAGACCTAAAGCCTCACTGCTCAGACCTAAAACCACACGACTGAAACCTAAAGTCACAGAGACCTAAAGCCACGCTGCTCATACCCAAAGCCACATAGACCTAAAGCCAAAGAGACCTAAAGCCACATAGACCTAAAGCCATAGTGACCTAAAGCCACAGAGACCAAAAGCCACATAGACCTAAGGCCACATAGACCTAAAGCCATAGTGACCTAAAGCCACAGAGACCTAAAGCCACAGAGACCTAAAGCCACAGAGACCCAAAGCCACATAGACCTAAGGCCACAGAGACCTAAAGCCACAGAGACCTAAAGCCACAGAGACTTAAAGCCACAGAGACCTAAAGCCACAGAGACCTAAAGCCACAGAGACCCAAAGCCACATAGACCTAAGGCCACAGAGACCTAAAGCCACAGAGACCTAAAGCCACAGAGACTTAAAGCCACAGAGACCTAAAGCCACAGAGACCCAAAGCCACAGAGACCTAAAGCCACAGAGACTTAAAGCCACAGAGACCAAAAGCCACATAGACCTAAGGCCACATAGACCTAAAGCCATAGTGACCTAAAGCCACAGAGACCTAAAGCCACAGAGACCCAAAGCCACATAGACCTAAGGCCACAGTGACCTAAAGCCACAGAGACCTAAAGCCACAGAGACCTAAAGCCACAGAGACTTAAAGCCACAGAGACTTAAGGCCACAGAGACCTATAGCCACAGAGACCTAAAGCCACATAGACCTAAAGCCACAGAGACCTAAAGCCACAGAGACCTAAAGCCACAGAGACTGAAAGCCAAAGAGACTGAAAGCCACAGAGACCTAAAGCCACAGAGACCTAAAGCCACAGAGACCCAAAGCCACATAGACCTAAGGCCACAGAGACCTAAAGCCACAGAGACTTAAGGCCACAGAGACCTAAAGCCACAGAGACCTAAAGCCACAGAGACCTAAAGCCACAGAGACCTAAAGCCACAGAGACCTAAAGCCACAGAGACCTAAAGCCACAGAGACCTAAAGCCACAGAGATCTAAAGCCACAGAGACCTAAAGCCACAGAGACCCAAAGCCACATAGACCTAAGGCCACAGAGACCTAAAGCCACAGAGACTGAAAGCCACAGAGACTTAAGGCCACAGAGACCTAAAGCCACAGAGACCTAAAGCCACAGAGACCTAAAGCCGCACGGCTGAGACCTTAACCACAAAGTTAAATTCATAATCATTTTAGCTAACATTCTCCCCCGTCCGCCGACACTCCTAAAGTCACGGGATCTGTGACAATCACGGCATCTGTGACAATGACAGGATCTGTGACAATCTGTGACAATGACGGGATCTGTGACAATCTGTGACAATGACAGGATCTGTGACAATCTGTGACAATGACAGGATCTGTGACAATCTGTGACAATGACAGGATCTGTGACATTCTGTGACAATGACAGGATCTGTGGCAATCTGTGACAATGACATGATATGTGACAATCTGTGACAATGACAGGATTTGTGACAATGACAGAATCTGTGACAATCTGTGACAATGACAGGATCTGTGACAATCTGTGACAATGACAGGATCTGTGACAATGACAGAATCTGTAACAATCTGTGACAATGACAGGATATGTGACAATGACAGGACCTGTGACAATGACAGAATCTGTGACAATCTGTGACAATGACAGGATCTGTGACAATGACAGAATCTGTGACAATGACAGGATATGTGACAATGACAGGACCTGTGACAATGACAGGATCTGTGACAATCTGTGACAATGACAGGATCTGTGACAATGACAGAATCTGTGACAATCTGTGACAATGACAGGATCTGTGACAATGACAGAATCTGTGACAATCTGTGACAATGACAGGATCTGTGACAATCTGTGACAATGACAGGATCTGTGACAATCTGTGACAATGACAGAACCTGTGACAATGACAGAATCTGTGACAATCTGTGACAATGACAGGATCTGTGACAATGACAGGACCTGTGACAATGACTGGATCTGTGACAATCACGGGATCAGTGACAATGGCCAGAGATTTAACAGAACTGATGAAAAAGTAAGGTGTGATGTGTGTGCGTAGGGGGGGGGCAAATATTTTCTTAACAATTCTTTGTCAGATTTACTTCCGGGTTCAACATAACCTTGGGACTCCCAACAATGGAAACACATAGAAGCTAGAAAACATTGCTCGTTTCTTAAATCCTGGCGGGGGTGGGGGTGGGGCAGTGGCGTATCTTGGGGATGAGAGGGGTGGCCGCACCAGGCCTGTGTGTGTAGGGGGTAACGGGACAATACAACATGCTTGTAACGTTTTCTAGCCCGCGCGGAATATGGAGCCCCCCCCCCCCCCCCTACATCGACAACGTGCTTGATTGTTTTTAAATCATTATCATTAATGAAGGGAGAAAAATCTTAGTCACAGACAACACCAAATTAACGGGCATGTTTTATCTGAAAGCGATAATGCCTGTCACAAACTTGTCCAACTAACTTTGGGGTGATTGGGCAGAAGCGTAGCGACCAGCAGTGTTTCTTCCAGACTTTTTTCTCCGGGGGGGGGGGGGGTGGACTAAAATTTTCGGGGGGGGGGCGGTAGACTGTCTTCGGGGGGCTGTTTTCTTTACTTGGACTGTGTATGATTTAGTAATCCAGGAAAGATTAAACTTAACATTTTTCTACCCCGCCCCCCCCCCCCCCAACAGGGTTTGTGCCCGGAACAGTTACGCCCTAACAGCCCTCCCCTTGGTATGCCTCTGTGACATGGAAGAAAAAGTTGAACTCTTAAACCGGAAGTTTAACATCTGAACAAAACAAATTTGCGCATTCATGACAAATATGAAAACAGAACCAGTCTCACTGGTTAATCAGCCCCTCTTGAATAGATCCCCTCATTTAGGATCTGTTTTAGAAGGAGTTGTACTGTACCGATGTAATATCAGAATGGGACACTGTTCAGGAAAGTTCATTCAATACAATGGTTTACAGCTAACTAGCATATATGGTCGCCATTAGAATACATTTCTAAACGTAATAAACAAACAACAACATAGAAATAACAGTATTTTGCAGAAGGTAAGTTATTAAAATGTTTTTTTTTTTGGCTAACTTAAGGTAAGGATCGAACTAGAAGGTTGTATATAGTCATTTTGTTTTCTATTTTCTCTGAGTAAGAATGCCTCACTTTGGTACATCATGTTGTCCAGAGTTGCGTAAATCGGACTCAATTTTAATTAAACAGTTAAACAAATCAGTAAAATATATTTAAGAAGGAAGCGATATTATTACTTGTCCATTAATATAAGTAAAGTGCCCTTTCAAACCTGATGATTTATGGGGCAGGTGAAGTAGAGTTCACCCGTTTATGTGACCTCAGCATATGAAGGGGTAGTGTGGTCAGCATTATGCCCAGCCGCCTTTAATATAAAAGAATATATATTCGAATCTTTCTTTCAATTTAATTTCAATTAGATTTCAAGTAGATATTAATTAAGTAACAGATTTGTTTTCTAGCTCGCAGAATTTAACCAAATAAAAAACATTTTGATCTACATAGCAATAAATGTATCAAATGAAATCATGTACAATAATTATGTTCTAATATTGGATTGTTTTCATTATTTTAAACAGCTGAAAAAAAAGATGAGGCCATTATATTCTTTACTTGTCCTGTTTGTGATGTCACGCCTTGCCTACACGACTCTGATGTTTAAAAACATCAACTTGGACCTGAGCGACACAAAACGGCAAGATGACGAAACAAACATTGATCATCACCCGGAGCTTGAAGGAATTGGAAAAATCGACTGTCGCGCACAAGACGTCGTTGACGTTTCAAATACGAGCACACATCGATGTAAGATAATCGGGGTTTGTGCAGAGTGTCCCAATTTAGGGTTAACTGTCGTACCGAACGATCTACCTACAGACATTATCAAACTGAATTTATCGTTCAACCAGCTTGAATTGATTCCAGATTTTGCGTTTGACAGGTACCGAAAATTGGAGTATATTTTTATAAACAGTAATAAATTAACACGTTTGTATCCTTCCGCGTTTGCCAACTTAACAGTTCTCAAAGTTTTAGATTTATTTAACAATTCTCTGGAGATGACAGGGACTACTTTCCCAGATGAGGTTTTTAGCTCTTTAATATCTGTTGTGTCTCTCAGAATAAGCCGAAATAATCGCGAGTTAAATAAAACAGAGCTAGCTTACCCGGATGTTGCTCTATCGCGCATGACAGCTTTGCAGACTTTATATTTAGACGGGTTAGAGATTAAGAAATCACCGACGGCCTTTGGTCGAGGTTTTCGAAATTTAACAAAGCTACATACACTTATGTTGTCGGGAGGAAATCCCAGTTTCGGATTTTGTAACTTGAGAAGTCTTTACAACAATACTTTTGAGAATCTAGGTCAGGTGGGTATTCTGCGTTTACAAAATTGTGGGCTATTTGGAGACAGGATCGAAGCTGATGCATTCAAGCCTCTGATTAACCTGCAGATACTGAATCTAATTTTCAATGAAAATATCAACGCAGATTCTTTAGGTAATGTTTTTTACGGGTTAAGAAACTCGAGGAAATTGGAGCGCCTATATATCAACAGGATAGTGAATCGGTATTCACTAAGCATTTGTTTTGAGAGTTCATGGTTGAAATATATCCCAAAAAGTATAACTTACCTCGAGGCCCGAGAAAACCAGCTAGAAGGAATGGACAGAAACACAATTCGAATGCTGCCTCCTAACATTGAGTACCTCGACCTTAGCGGAAATCTATTTCGGTTTGGTACCTACTTTCAAGATCTTCACGTGATGAAGAACCTCCAACGTCTCTTCATCAACGGCATCAACACTAATTACGTCATCCCTTATTCGTATCCGGCGGTCGGACATGACGTCATTAGAAACGCCTCGTGCCATCTGTACAAGGAGACCAACGGTCTAGGGGGTAAAAATTTCATCCTGAAACTTCCGCCTAGGTTAGAGAGGATCCAAATGAACAACGCGGGGTTAATGTACAGGCTGACTGAGCTTCATGTAGACCCAAACAACAGCTTAAACAGCTTGAGCTTAAGGTTTAACAACTTCCCCAGCTTAGAAGGTCCCATCACGGGCCTCAACGCGTTGAAATTCCTAGACTTATCCTATTGCTACATCAAGAAGATCCTGCCGCAGTTTTTCCAGAATTTCAGCTCTCTGCAGTATCTGTATCTGCAAGGCAACGCGTTGGGGGATTTTTTTTACGGGAACAGGAATATCAAATCGTTTTTTTATCTGAGTAATTTAAAAGTGCTCAACATGTCGTACTGCAACATCTATGACCTCCGACCCGCCGTGTTTTCCGAACAGCGGAATTTGACCAAACTCTCCCTGGAACACAACCCGCTGGATAAATTCGACGTCAACATCACCCACATGTGGAGCTTGACCCTGCTCAACCTCAGCTCCACCCACGTAACCACTCTCTCCCCGGCAACCCGACGCCACGTCGACCAGCTCCACGACAACAACATCAACACGACCTTAAACCTCGCCGAAACCCCCATCGCATGCACGTGCGAGAATTTAAACTTCCTTATATGGATGTCGAAATCCCAAGCTTTCACTAGCGGGTTCAAAGGATACATCTGCGTCTTTCCTGACTTCTCCAACGCTAATTTAGCCACAAGTTATCAAGATATTTTAAAGACGTTAACCAGAAAATGCACATCCAATGCCGTTTTATTTTTCATCGTCGGCTCCTGTACCGCTGTAATGATTGGTGTCATTATAGGCCTCCTGCTGTACAGATTTAGATATAATCTAAAATACTTGTACTACGCAGCGTACACCCGTTACCAAAACAAGAATCACGACGACGCCGCACAGTTTCAGTACGATGCGTTTATCTGCTACGCCGAAGAAGACGTGGGTTTTGTGAACAATTTCTTAAAAAACGAACTCGTCGCTAGAGGGTTGAAGCTCTTCATCCACTCTGAAGATTTCACTGCGGGTGAGTACATCTCGTCAAATATCGTGAGGGCTGTATGCGCGTGCAGGAAGACCGTGGTCCTGTTGACACGTGACCTAGTGGCCAGCACCTGGTGTATGTTTGAGATTGAGATGGCCAAGATGGAGGCCGTGTACAGTGGCCGGCAGGTGTTGCTGTTCGTCATCATGGAGAAGCTACCCAAAGGTCAGATCGGCAGGGACCTGCTGTACAACGTCAAGAACAACACGTACCTGGAGTTTCCTGGGGACCAGAGCGAGGCTGAGGTCATGGTCAGGTGGTGGGACAAGCTGGCCAGCGACATCATGCACTAAACCTAACCAAAGTCTAGTCGGTGGACTAACTCAAACACTTACATAGACAGTATAAGCTAACCCAAATCCTTATATAGACAATATACACTAAACCTAACCAAAATACAGTCGGTGGACTAACCCAAACCCATACATAGACAGTATAAGCTAACACAAATCCTTATATAGACAATATACACTAAACCTAACCAAAATACAGTCGGTGAACTAACTCAAACCCATACATAGACAGTACACGCTAATCCAAATCCAAATATAGATAATATATACTAAACCTAACCAAAGTATAGTCGGTGAACTAACTCAAACCCATACATAGACAGTACACGCTAATCCAAATCCAAATATAGATAATATATACTAAACCTAACCAAAGTATAGTCGGGTGAACTAACTCAAACCCATACATAGACAGTATAGATTAACCCAAATCCTTATATAGACAATATACACTAAACCCAACCAAAATATAGTCGGGGAACTAACTCAAACCAAGATATAGACAAATTTAATATAACCTAAACCCAGATATAGACAGTATAGACTAACCCAAACCCATACATAGACAGTATACGCTAACCCTAATTCTTATATAGATAATATACACTAAACCAAACCCATATATATATATATATATATATATATATATATATATATATATATATATATATATATATATATATATACACATATATATTAGTCGTTGCCTTCAAGTGTATGTATATA